AAATCCGATCATAAACCGACAATTCATCGAATCCCAACAAACACGCCGCAAAAGAATATATTACATCAGATATAAGTCTAAGAAGATTGAGGAGAACATTGTATTGAAGATCAAAGAGAGAGAAGAAGGCATCTAGCTAGTAACTATGGACCCGTAGGTCTATGGTAAACTACTCACACATCATTAGAAGGTGGCAAGGATGATGTAGAAGTCCTCCGTGGTTGATCCCCATTCCGACATAGTACTGGAAAAGGCCTCTAGATAGTATCGCGGAAGAACAGAAACTTGCGGCGACAGAAAAAGTATTTCTGGTGGCTCTCTGGGGTCTCCCAAAATTTGAGAATTTATAGAAGTGGAAATAGGTCAGGCGGAGCCACGTGAGGCCCACAAGGTAACAGGGCGCGCCTTGTTGCCTTGCCGTCTCCTTGCTTCACGTCTGATCTCCTTCCTAAGCTTCTAGGGTCTCTTATGTCTAGAAAGAAATCATCGAAAAGTTTCGTAGTGTTTGGACTCCGTTTGGTACCGATTTTCTGGAAAACCAAAAGTAAGCAGAAAAACAACAACTAGCACTAGGCACTGGGTTAATAGGTTAGTTCCCAAAAATGATAAAAATAGCATAAAATGCATATAAAGCATCCAAGATTGATAATATAATAGCATGAAACAATCAAAAAATATAGATACGTTCGAGACGTATCATTGAACCTATTGCAAGCATGCCTTGAAGAAGAAGATTGTGAACATTCATGTTACCTTCAAGACATCATCTTAATGAAGAGAGTAGGACAGATACAAGGTCGATCAAGACAAAGTGCTAAGGGTGGATTCAAGTTGATCAACACACAGAGCATAGAATATGTACCAAGTGGCATCATGTGATCTCATGGTATGGTAAGCATTGTCCATTACGCTTTGTGAACTAACCCATGATCTATGTGTTTGGTGTTTCTATGTGGGTTAGGTATCTTTCCATGGGCTTGCATCAAAAGGAAGATTTCATGTAGCCCAAGAGAGGATGGAATCAAGTAGTGATGGTCATCAAGGTTGTTGTGTGCAATTTCAAGAGGAGCATCACGAAGAGATCATATGCATGAAGCTTTCCGACAATTTGATGATAATGGTCTTATGAACATGTGCCTAAGAGTGGTTCTCCCATAGTGGAGTACGGGGGAGAAACTTGCGAGTCTTCACCAAGCGTGTGCTAACAAGAAAGGTGTTCCAACTTGAGGCGGACATGATGTCATCATCTAGCTGAAGTGGATTGTGCGCAAGGAAAAGTTTGACCTAGATAGGTTTTCCATTTTATCGGTCTCATGGTGTTAGTTGGGAGATTGGGTTATAGGGTTGATTGACGTACTATCAAGGGGGGCTCTCGAGTGAGTAGCTTGATCGTATCGTTCATAGAGAGCTCAAAGCATTGCATCCTTGGCATCATATTTATTGGTTCTTATTTGGTTTTACTCTATGGGATTTTTAAAGTTTGTGTTTGTCTTCTCGGCAAACTCAAGTTCATCGAAAACAGAGTTCTTATGCATCATCTTTGCATTTTCGGTGTTGGAGATTTTGCCGGTTCATATTTGGGGAAGGTTCTCTTCCTTATACTATTGGCATCTTTTCTCCATTTCCAGTTCTTAATATTTGTTGGATAGTGCTTGTAGTCATCTATCCAACAAGCTTGAGTTTGCAGATTCCAGAGTTAGTTTGCAGAAGCTGTGGCGGTTTTCGTTTTGTCTGTTCTGTTTTGGCCGTCTTGATGGCAATTGGTGGTAGTGTCGTTGGCTACCACGGTAGTACCACTTGTGTGGTACATCCGCTGGTATGTCGCGATTACTACCGGGAGGGTCTCTGTTACCCTTAGAGAATTGGCGGTAGTACCGCTTGCTCCTAGCAGTAGTGCCGCTTGTGCGGTACTTCGGCTGGAGTACCGCGCACACTACCATGGATTTCTCGGTTACCCTTCAGGAATTCGCGGTAGTACCACTTGCTCCTAGTGGTAGTACCGCTTGTGCGGTACTTCCCCTGGAGTACCACGCGCACTATCCTGGAAGTCTCTGTTACCCACCGGCTAATTCACGGTAGTACCGCTTATCTAAGGCGACGCTCTGGCAGTACTACCGCGTCAGTTCCACGCTGGTCCTTAGTGGGTCTCGATGACTATCCTATGCTTAGCGGTAGTACCGCTCCCCTGAGTGGTAGTACCGCTTAAGGCTGTTCTAGAACATAACGGTTGGATTTATCTTCCCACTATATAAGGGGTCCTTCTTCCCCATTGACCCGAACGACATTGAGAAAGTTTTCGCCCACCATTGTTAACCTCTTGGAGTTTGCTTTCTCTCTATTCCTCCCATGATTTCTTGCATCTTTTTGAGAGAAAAGAGAGAGCGGATCTAGATCTACATTCTCCACAAATCCATCTCACCTCTTAGCGAGGGGAACCTTGTGGATCTAGATCTTGGAGTTCTTTTCTGTTCTCCTTGTTCTTCCTCTCATATTCCTCCATATCTTTAGTTGCTTTGGTGGGATTTGAGAGTAAGGGGCCCGAGCGCTTTGTGCGTTCTTGCCATTGCATTAGTTGCATCGGTTTGAGTTATTCATGGTGATACGTGGAAGTGAAAGTTGAGAAGCTTATTACTTTTGGGTGTTTGGGCGCCCTAGAGCGTGTGCCTCTTTGGTGCTTGGGCGCCCTAGACGGTTGGTGATGTCGCGAAGCTCAATCATTGTGGTGTAAATCTTCGTGCAAGCTTCGGGGTCTCTAATTAAGCTGTGGAGATTACCCCAAGCAATTTGCACGGGTTCGGTGATCGCCCCCAAGGGTCGTCATTTGTACGGGTTCGGTGACTGCCCTCAAGGGTCTCTTAGTGGAGTCAGGCGCCCTGCATTGTGCAAGGACGTGAGGAGAATACGGTGGCTCTAGTGGCATTTTTGGGGAGCATTGTGCCTCCACATTGCTTTAATGGAGATTAACATCCGCAAGGGTGTGAACTTGGGGATACATTGTCGTCTCCGCGCGTCTTGGTTATCTTTTACCCGAGCTCTTTACTTATGCGCTTACTTTGTGATAGCCTTCGCGCTTGAAGTTATATATCTTGATATCACTTAGTTGTTTATCTTACATAACATAAGTTGTTGGTGCACATAATTGAGCCTAGTATACTTAGGTTTTGTGCTTGACAAATTAAACGCTAATTTTATTTCGCATTTGTTCAAGCCCCCAATCTAGGCGACATTCACATCCTTTCAGCAGGGAGCTTCAAAACCCGATCCATGCGCGCGAGGAGGAAGAAGATGAAACTTCCCTCACGCGCTGACAATTGGGTTTGGAGCAAGCTCTAAATGAGGCCTCCACACCCTTCATACTTGGAGGCTACGAGGTTGCTTTTGGAGCGAGCTCCATAATTTTGACGATAGTGACACATATGCCGATTCTGCTAGAGTGACATTCTGTGTATTAATCATTATATTGACAATTATGATGATTTATTTGTCTAATAAATCGACTCTGTAGAGTAGCTATTGGTTACCTTTCCTCCCATGCGTGCACGCAGAAATCATGATGCATAGGGAGTGGACGTGCGCTCCTAGAATTACAAATGCTAATCCCTGCTCCGGCTTAGAATTTGTCAACTAATGCGGTAACGTTCAGCTGAGGAGAGACCGGGCGCTAGTTTAGCTCCTAGTACTTGTTAATTAACCCCGGGCGTGCATGACCGTTGGAGGATTATATTAGAATAACAATCAGGAGCATATCCATCATATGCAATGCGTTATACTGTCTATTATAGTTATTAAATGTTTCACTCTCGTACGTGCTGCTTTCTGTGTTTCAACTTGGGTTCTTCTATGGCCAGATTGTGCTTGGTGATCTAAACGCCTTATATTTATTTACATAGAGAGTAGTAATTAATAGATAAGTCGTTGTTACTGCCTAAAACAAATGATGTTTGATGTAAAATATCGGTACGGAATTCCTGTCATGAGCGAGCATGAATGTACAAGTCTGACAAGATCCTTGTGCTAATTGTGGCGCTGTTGCTTTCAGATTGAAACTAATTGAAGGCCCCAACCAGTCGAGTCCAGACCATGCATCCTGTGCAAGCTTATGCACAATGATGGTGCTGAATAGCAAGGTGGACATGAGCATTAGCTAGCAGAAGCTGGTAGGTATTACAATCCAAGGCAAAGCACAAGCACAAGCGGCAGCAGGTCGGTCGACCGATCGATCATAAGAGAAAGTTAGCGTGCGTGCATGCATGCATTGGTGGAAATTATCATTCATGATGCACTGCATTCTTGGGAATATTATGATTATGCTCATATCCTGGTCCATCCAGCTAATTATTTGCTATGCCGATGCATCAATTTCACCTACTCCTACTACTGCTCTTGTGTTTATCATCCATTCACTGGTCACTTGTAATTAGAGGTGTTGGCATGCATGTTTTGTTACCCTGCCCTTGGGATTTGTTTGTCTGGCCAAAATGGAACTAGACACAGATGTGGGAATGCATGAAGTGAAATGTTAAAGCAAATGAAGACTGGAAACAAACAAATGTGAGTTGTTCTGGAATGTGCAACAAGAGTCCAAGATGGGGGAAAGGGTAAAGCAAAAGAGGGAGAAGAGGGACAGGGGCAAGAAAGGAAAAGTGAAAAAGAAAAGGAAGGGAAAGAGGTCGCCATCACTGCCTCTGCCTGATGAGGTCTGTCTCTTTTGCCTGCTCAGCTCATCCCCTCTCCCAGCTGAGCTGAGGGCTCAAACAGCAGTAGAGAACACAATAGATACAAGAATACAACACAAGAGTCTTCCATTCCACTCCTCATCTTGTCTTTCTCCCACATCACAACATCACAAGTTTCTTTCTTCTCTTCTCTTCTCTTCAGACAAGAACATCAGCCCGTCTTCTTAAGTAGGAATTCAGTTCGCCAATGGTGCTGCCTCCTTGCCCTCTCCCTTGATAGATATAGACAGACGAGTGAAGTGAGTGAGCAGTGCGTGAGTGGGGATGGATCAGCCGGTGCCCTCCATCTGCGGCCTCCACCCGGGCATCGCCGTCACCGGCTTCTGCTCCGCCTGCCTCCGCGAGCGGCTCGCCGGCCTCCACCCCAGCGACCCCGCCGACTCGGCGGAGCTCCGCCGCTGCAAGTCCTTCTCCTACGCCCGCTCCGCCGCCGCCTACTTCGAGCCGCAGCGCCGCTCCTGCGACGCCCGCGGCGCCGCCGCCCTCTTCCACCAAGAGACAACCTACCTCCCGGGGGAGGAGGAACATCTTCCGCCAACAGCGGCGGGCAGGCCGATGAAAGACCACATCCACCAAGAGTCCTCCTCCAAGAAGACCGCCGGCACATTCGGGGGGTTGGGCAAGAAATGGCAGGAATGGCGCCGCAAGAGCAAGCTCAAGAAGCAGGAGCAGGGGCCCATCGCCAGCAGGGCCGCCATGCCGCACGAGAATCTCCGCCACCGCAGCTTCCGCGACACGCGCTCCGAGGTCGCCGTCGACGCGCTCGGCCGGCGCTCCATCGATGTGGACACCCTTCTCTCGATGGACGCCGGCCGCATCTCGGTGGATGAGCCCCGAGCTTCTTGTGACGGCTACCACGGCGTACGGTTGCGCATTCCCCCGATGCTGTCCCTGGTCGAGGATGCGCCCGTCCCACGCTCTGATGGCCAAATCCCCGTGGAGGAAGACGAGGACACTGAGCCCGGCGGCTGCGCCCAGACAAGGGACTACTACTTGGACTCCTCCAGCTCCAGCAGGAGGCGCCGGAGCGTGGACCGCTCCTCCTTCTCCAGCCGCAAGTCATTCTCTGATGCCAGTGACCTGCCCAGGATGATGGCCGGTGCCACTGCCAATGCCAATGCCCGGGTTTCACCGGCCATTGGTGCCGAGTTCTATCAGTACCACCACGCTCAGAGTCAGAGTGTTCTTGACCATCATCAGCAGTGGGAGCAGGGACCGAATTCTTATTCTCTCCGGGATGATGATATGTCAGGGAGCATTGATCCCGCGGCATTCCGGGATGGCATCCCTCTGCCGGCCAAGAAGTCTAAGAAGTGGATCAAGGGGTGGAACATCTTTGGTCTCATACATAAGAAGAGCAGCACCAAGGAATCTGAAGCTGCCAGTTTGGCCAACAGATCATTCTCGGAGAAGTGGCCCGAGCTCCGCGCAAGGGGATACAATGGGCAGATGCTCAGGTGCAACAGCAGCGTAAGCGCGAGGAGCTCCTTCGGTAATAGTGGTGCAGCAATGGGCGGCATGAGCGGGAGGAGGAGCAATGTGGAAATGCATGTTAATGGCTTAGGGAGGATGAGAAAGGATGAGGTTTTACTCGAGAGGAATTTCAGTGCAAGGTACACGCCTTGCACGGTCGATAATGGCGCGATCCCTTATCCAATCGGAGGTGCCCAATTCAGCCGGCGAAATCAGAATGGGATACCCGGGAAAGGAAGGCCTGCTCGTTCATCCAATTCTTTGCCTCGTAGCTCGCTCGGGATGTACTGATCTAGCAGTGATGAAGGCAGGTTTATGTTCTTCTCCACCATCTTATGTGCCTTGGCTACAATGTGCATATCTATGGTAGCTAGCATCATCAGAATCAACTTTTTATAGGCTCAGATCAGAAGAAAGGTCGTCAAGTGAAGTGGTGATGGTGTTGGATTATATACCTTACTTAGTTTTATTTCCTACTGGGCTTGGGAGTGGAGTATAGCATTTAACTTTACACCCTTGTATAAGATATGCCATATGTATGTTTGCTTTTGTCAATTGAATTCAAGTTAGCATTCTGGCAATAGCAATAACATGATGTAAGGGCTATGGAATCGAATGCCGGTAAGCTGGTCGGTGTTGCAAGATGTTTTGGATCTTGTTTGATATTGACAGCAAGAAAATTGCAGGGTCGTTGTCACAGCATAGCAGCATGCCAGGTTTTCTTCCTCTTTTGTTCATTGTGTTGTGTGCCGTTTCTTCCACCAGAAATCCTAAATCTATGGGTATCTTTTGCTGCTCACTTGAATTCTAATCCGTCTTCACGTTCTTCATTTCTTAAGCCGTGCTTATGTTTTTGAAAGGCTACAGAGGTTGCTATTTTCAGGTTATTGTAAAAATCATATTACTCTGCTGGGTAAATCAGATCATCGTTATGTCATCTAAGGATGTCCTATCGCATTTCCTTTCTTATGTTTCAGAATGAAGCAATATGTAAATAGCAGCTTGATGCCTTGATTAAGAAAAGAAGCCTCAAAGCCGAATACCCAGCATCTAAATTCTGCTCAGCCGTAAGGGGATTATCATAACCCCAGGCACCATACCGAATCTAAGTTGAATGGATTGTGGTCCTTATTCCACTAGCACTGGTGCTAAGTTAAATGCAAAAGTATATCTGGGGTGTCTATTTGCAGTTGGAGGGGAGCTGTATCTGTTTCAAATTCATAACGAAGGTAAATATACAAGATCACTTAACCAGAAGCAGCCTTAACTACTCAGAAAGTTAATTTGATTCCAGGCCATGGCATACGAAACAAGGTTCAGTATGTCTGCGCAGCAACCTTAAGAGCATTACTAGTAGAACCCTCAAATCCTCAAACGTTCACTAGCGTTTTAAGGATCCAAAAATGATCTTTTTGTGCACTTTTACGGGTTGAAAAACAGGGGCAAAGATTAGAACCCTCAAACCCAACCCTTATAACAGAATATTCCCCATGAACGACGTTGTCTTTGCGCGCGGGAGGTCGACGGGGCGGCCGCCGGCGATGGGGGCGACTAGCAGCGGCGGTCGCGGGCGTGGACGCGGGAGTTGGGAGGATTTTTTCCTCCCGCGCGAGTATAACCGCCAAATGAGGGCTGGGGTAGGTTTTGTTCCCCAACCCTTACTTTTGAGGATTGGGAGAGGGTTTGAGGGTTGGACCTTTAAAAAAATTTGAGGGTTTGAGTGTTAAGGGGTTCTAGTCTACGGCTTTTTTTCGACGAAAACAGTAAAAAAGCAGTTATTTTTAGGGATTTGAGGGTTTAAAGGCTCTACTAATAATGCTCTAAGAACATCAATATCCTAAAGCTTTTATACTAACAACACAATGGCAAGAATCCCACAGGAACAAATTAAGTACCCCCACCATGAAAACGAAATTATGTTTCTGTTCTAACTATTTATTGCTACTTTATCTGTAATGTATAGGCACGAGTTTCCAGAGCCGCAGAGCTCAATGATCTAACACTGACAAATAATACAGCAACTGTAAAAGAAAGAAACGCACAACACAGCAGCATCTGCAGGTCAGCACTCATCAGTGAAGCAAATGGGTCCACAGTCTGCTCTTCTCCGGGCAGGCCCTTGCCAGCACCTCCTTCAGGCTTCCCGTCGACTGCAATATCTCTTCCACCTTCCCTTTCACCGCTGCATCTTGCTACATTCAGCAAAAACATATCACACCACTAGTTAGCTTTTCTTCTTCAGCCAAACGCCACACCATAATTAACATATGCATCGCAATTCAACTTGGGTTTGTGAAAGAAGAGGTTGCCTTAGATATCCACAGAATGTAGAGCGCTGCAAGCTCCGCCTGGACGCACATTTCGCCAAACTCATCGCTGGGAGCACTCAGGCAGTCTGACAGGAGGTGTATCTCTTGGGATAGGAAGAGTTCTGCAAGGGATTCGTTTGACGGGCTGGTTTCCTCACAGCTGAGCAAGTGTTGTACCCACCACTGTGAGAGGAACCGACGATGGTTCCACAACGACTGCATCAATAGTTCAATACAGATCATCTTCACAAATCAGTCACACCCCTGGCAATAATATCATCTTTGATTCACCGCAGGTACAAACCTCTCTCCCTTGGTATCGTCTGATGAGCGTCTCATTCCACCTCAGTTCCTCCTGTTTGGTCATATACAATCAAGTCTCTCTAGCAGCATGGCCTAGGCAAACCAATCTTCTAACATAAAAATGAGATGGACATGGGCTTGTTTTCGCCTTCGTAACTGGTGTATATATAACTAAATGCACACAACAATGTAAGTGCTTAGCATTTGATAAATTCACCATACCTTCCACATTAGATAAGCTTCTGACTGGCAAATAAGGGAATCTTCTCTGTTCGCTGCACCATCTAGTAATGCAAACAGCAGGGACTACAAAAAAGAAATAATACGGCATGTTTGCATTAACCCTTGAATATGCATATGTTGTCCTAAAGAATAGTTAGAAAACAGGGTATGAGTGCCTATACAGAATATTGGAATGTGAGAACAAATCCAAATCCTAAAATAATGCACATTTTGGTGTAATTGAAAAGCTTTGCAGAGTGATGCACAAACAAGCGGTTGATATGACATAACATCAAGTAAGATATAAATTAGCTTTGAAATAGTAATACCAACAGGCAACAGTTCAAGCTACAGAAATAAGGAAGGGCCTAACCCTGCGGGGACTATAACAAAGAAAAGATACGGTATGATTGCATTAATCCACATTGAATATGCATATGCTGTCCTAAAGAACAGTTAGAAAACAGGGTATGAGACTATGAGTGCCAATACAGAATGTTGGAGTATGAGAACAAATCCAAATCCTAAATAATGCACAATTTGGTGTAATTGAAAAGCTTTGCAGAGTGATGCACAAACAAGCGGTTGATACGATATAACATTGAGTAAGATATAAATTAGCTTTGAAATAGTAATACCAATAGGCAACAGTGCAAGCTAAAGAAATAAGGAAGGGCCTAACCCTGCGGTAGTGAAAGCAGCAGTTGTCAGCAACATGCAACTCAGCCCATTTTTTTGACTTGTTCAGCTCATCTAGCACCTTCAAGAAACAAAAATTAGATGCTCTGATGATGGGAGCAGAAAGTCTTGCAACAGTGCAACAGTCAAGGCCAAGATTAAAGCTATGATAGTGTTCAGGAGCCCCATACAAGATCACGAATGCGGGACAATGAATGTTAATCAGTTATAATCTCACCTGTTTTGTTTTCATGTAAGGAATAAGCCAGCATCGATGCCTCCACGCGCGGTAGTTCATCTTTGATTTCTGCAGATGGAGTAAAGTAAACCTATCATGTTGTTGCACACTGTACATAGCTAATCGCGTATAAGTGATTTAGCAACCAGCTGCAAATGAAATGTCATTAATTGAGAAGAGTGGACGTCAAAATTCTGAACAAGCAAATATTTGTGGGCTATGACCTCTGCCATGTCTTTTACGAGTAGAGATTCCTTGTCTATAAGCTCCGGCATGTCCTGAAGGTGTTGTGCAAGATTTTTGATCACCCATCTCCTGTTGTAGACATTAAGGTGTATGTTAGTATAAACAAGTGAAATCAACATGGATTTCCAGCAGCAGAAAGATGGGTTGAGTTAGTTTAAAGGGAAGGAAAGTGTAGGTTTGTGTACCTATGGCTCCAGGTACTCTCATTCTTTGGCGAGTAGGAGAGGATCAAGGCACACAATCGCAGCTCATCCTTGAGGTGCGAGAGATTATAATTGGTGGACAGCACCATCTTCCTGCACAAGACTATAGCTGTTACAATAAGGCGAGTGTGAAAGTAGCTGGCATTATATAGACTACTAATAGGGAAGAGGATTTGGAGCACCTGGGTGCTCCACCCCCCTATATGAACATTAAGTTCAAAAAAATACCAGGAAAATTCAAAAAATAAAAACTGAGAATTTGGTATATCAAACTTGGGTACCCAACCTACTCCCTTGTGAAGTTTCCTGTAAAATGGCATCCGTGGTATTCTCAGTAAAAAAGACAAAAAAAATCCTATGTATAGGAAAAAGAACTGTTTCGATGGATCGTAGGTCGGAGTGTATTTCCTTCGCAACGGATACATTTCCTGGTATTTTTTCACGAAACTTCACACAGGAGTAGATTGGGCACCCAAGTTTGATATCTCAAGATTCCAGGTGTTTTTTGAATTTTCCTGGTATTTTTTTAATTTAATATTCATATAGGGGTGTGGAGCACCCAGGAGCTCATGTGTATTTTCCAGAGTTATACTACCTGGAGTTCCATGCGGTGAGCAAGTCAGGGCAGAGTATGAGCAGCGCCTTGCTGTGTGTCATGATCAAGGCAGCATCGGATGCAGATGGTGATGACGAGGGATTGAGTGTCGCGTTGGAGTGTGCGCGGCGAGCGGCGTGGTAGAGGTCGGGCAGGATGCTGGAGGAGATGGCAAGCTTGTGGTCTACGCACCAGAAGTATTGGGATGTGGATTTGTTGGTGCTGTCTACGAGTAGCGAGTGGAACTGTGTGGGATGCAGGAACCCGACCTCGTCTCTGCAATGCCATGAAACCACGCCATGAATTGGAGACCAGGGAATGCGGTCTAGGGGAAGAAATCTGAAAGAGAAAAATAAATAATGATTGGATCCTTACATGAGGGGGTCGTCATGGAGGATTCGCTCAAAGTCGCGGAGGAGATCCTCTTCCGCTTGCGCTGCTGCTGCTGCTGCTTCTTCCGATTCCATTCGCGGTCTCTCTTGGTCTTATTGTTTTCTGCTCTCCTCAAACCAATATGACAATGACATTTATATTGATTCAAAAAATGAGAACAATGTATCAATTGTTTGACCCAAACTGAAACAATTCAGTAGTAAGTAGGTGCATTCCTGGAAATCACAGCTCAAGATGCCACATGGATTCAAAATATGGACCCAAACTGAAACAATCCAGTAGTGACTAGTAACATTCCTGGACAGACTTCAGGAGTGTAATACAGTACAATTTAGTAATTTACAAAGGAGCACAGCAAGCCTAGATTCGTGAGCAGGTGGCAGCACGACGAGCAATGAATAATGAGTAAACAAAAATTCGGAAACGGGGAGGAATCTCATCAAACGTACCTTTAAAATCGGGCTGGGCGGCTGGCTGCTGGCCTGCTGCAGCTGCACAACGCCGGCTGCCGGACGCTGACTGCCGAGTGCGGACTGGGCAGCTGCTGGCTGCCGGCTGGGCGCGGTGGCACCGGGCAGGGGCTCGGCGGGCAGAGTCGCCGGCGAGGCACGGAGCTAGGCGGCGAGATCGGCCGGAGCGCGGAGCAGTCGCGGGGAGAATCAGGGGACGGGAGGCAGTGCGCAACGGCTGGTGACCACCGCGGTCGTGCGACGAGTCGAGACTGTGTTGCTGGGCTTTTTTCTCTTTTCTTCCGGCCCAACTTGGTGGCTGATTTTCTCTCTCTCTCTCTCTCTGTTTTGTTGGTGTGGTTGAGTCGACTGGTAGATGCGGCTGGTCTGAGACCTTGGTCGCGTGGCACCAACAACCAGAGTCAGTCGGTCACAAATTCCCAAATCCACGGGAGAGAGATAATCATCAGGCAGAGCTGCAGCAGGTGGCCATGGCCGACTCCCCCGAGTTAGCTCGTGCTCGGGACGTCCTGAGCGTCAGCGCCGACGAGCACGCGCGGGTGGACGCGCTCTCCTCCGCCGCATCCGCATCCCTATCACAGTCCACTACTCATCTGTCGCCGAGCTTCTTCGAGGGATTCGCGCTGCGCGGGATCCGCGTCCTCCGCCTCCACCCGGGCTTCATCCACTGCTCCTACACCGTCCCCCCGAGCCTCACCGTACGTCTGTCGCTTCTTCCTTGATCGATTTCACTTTCACCTGTCTGTCTTGATCCCTCCTGGCTGAGCTAAACACGCACGCACGCAGGACTCCACCACCGGCTGCCTCGCCGCCGGCGCCGTCGTGGCCCTGGTCGACGAGATCGGCTCCGCCGCCTCCATCTCCGAGGGCCAAAACCTCAAGGTCTCCGTCGACATGTCCGTCGCCTTCCCGGATCTCTCCCAGGCCCGCCCGGGGGACCGGCTGAGCATAACGGCAAGGGCACTCGGACACAAGGGCGCCTACTCCGGCACACACGTGCTCTTCACCAACGCCGGCACCGGCAACGTCGTCGCCGAGGGCAGGCACTCCCTCTTCGGTAACATGAAGAAGTCGCCACCACCCAAGCCAGCGGCCACTACTCACAGGAGCAACTTGTGATGATGCCTCTGCCTGCTCCTACTCCGCTACTCTGTTCTGTATTCTGATGAAGAGTACCTTGCCATCAGACATCAAGTATAAAGGAGATATGTTCTGAACGGGCGCCTACTCCTCTCTTATCAGTTCGGCCTGTATATGTAACATTGATTCAGAGCAGTACGATGTATGATGTGTATTATGCAACTCGACTTTGGTAATCAGAACTATCATTCTCCATGTCTACCACAGCTCCTGCTACCTCGCTGGACACCGTGCCAAACCGGCGGCGCCTCCTCGCCCTCCACACAATCTGAAATTCTTCCCCAAAGCCTGTTATCTGGAATTCTTCCCCAAAGCCTGTTGCCCTGAACTATAGCCCGGGTGTTGATAGCGAGAGGTGGACAAAAACACAAGGATTTGCACTGCGTACAGGGTTCAGGGTCTTACGTGAAACTAGAACTCGGGACCTTGAAGTGCATCCAAAAGCACGATTCATATATTAAATAAGTGGTCGTTGTCTAACATTTGTTCGTTTACATCTTATAAGAAAGAAAGCTGCAATTGGTACTTCGTGTTGATATGATTCGAATGAAAGCTGCAATTCTATCCATATGATTCTCTTTTGAATTAGCTTCGGTCTGCTACTCCTACGTGTCATACTGCGGAGCAAGTATCTTAATTCCAAAACATTGTCCCAGATGATGCTGAGGTTGACTATTCGCCCTTTTGGAAAGGATTGATGAGGATGAAATCAGTCTTTTTCAACTGGACAAAATTTGTAGTTGGAAATGGTAATATCACGAGGTTCTGGGAGGACACATAGCTAGGGGAGACGCCCCTTGCACTCTAATATCCATCTCTCTATAATATTATGCAGTGAAGAGAAGCCTACGTTGCAAGAGAAGCCTACGTTGCAACAGTATTATAATCCAATCCTCTGAATATCTAATTCAGGAGGACTCTAGCGGAAATCGTTGGGAAGGTTGGCTCCACATGATGCGAAGATTGATGGAGGTCCACCTTTCTCAACAACCCGATCGGTTGAGCTGGAAACTAACAAAGAATGGTGAGTTTTCGGTTAAATCCATGTATTTGGATGCTATCAATTCTAGTGCTATTCCTCGTTCGAAACATGTGTGGAAAGTCAAAGTGCCTTTAAAAATCAAAGTGTTTATGTGTTTATACATAAACAAGTCATTCTAACTAAGGACAATTTGGCAAAACGCAATCGGACAGGATCTACAAGATGTAGTTTCTGTGATAAGGACGAGTCCATCAAACACCTCTTTCTCGACTATCCCTTGGCAAAAATTTTGTGGCAGACAGTGCACTTAGCATTTAATATTACTCCTCCGAATACCATCAACACGTTATTTGGGACTTGGTTAGATGGGTTAGATTCCGAAACTGCGCGACATATTCGTGTAGGAGTATGTGCTTTATTATGGGCAGTCTGGAACTACAGAAACCATTTGGTTTTTAACAGAATAACAAAAAATTCATTTATTGCAGGTTATCTTACATGCTACTACACTCATCCATATGTGGTCGCTACTCACTCTGACGGAGGCCAGGGAGGCGTTTGGTTACTGGATCTATCCGATGGGAGACGATAGCTCGGGATATCTTCAACCGGTTTGGATGGCGGTCATTGTCGGCGTTCTGGGACCAGGGGTGCCCAGACTTGCCTGCATGCGGGCTTGTGCGTGGCTCCACCAACGGCCTGGTACATCCCATCTTCGGCAGCAGCAGCTCAAGACCCTCGCGAGGGGCCAAGCCTTGCGAGGCGGACGACACCAAGACCTCCCCAAGAGCAGCCTCACTAGGGTGGCTTCCGAGGAGTGGAGATCTCTATGCAAGAGGGACCTCGCGAGGTTCACGTGACGTGAGCCATGACGACCAAGGACAGGCGGGCGCCAATGGGCGCAGTATGCCAGTTTCCTCTTTCGTGCTAAAGAGGCAGGCACAGGCGAGGAGTCCCGAGGCATCTGGCAAAGGTTTCCATATCGGTGCAACAAGATCAAGACCAGCAGGACGGCATGACGGAGGTCACCACGGAGCCCACAGCAGCGTCACCACCAGAGCCTTTGGCAGGCGAAAACCACCTTTTGTCAGGACAGCTTGTACTAGTTGTCTCCCTTCAAACTTGGCTGTTGTGGGATCCCTTCCTGCCTAATATTTGGGAAGAGGACTAGGGCCTCTATAAATATGACTAGCCACCACCATAGGTAGGGATCGACTCATCTTAGATTGGATCCACTTCATCCCCACATCCGCCAGCTCGCCGAGCTCAAGAACACCTTCCCTCCTGAGGCTGTTCACCATTGTACTAGTTCATCCTTATCCCGCAAGACAATCCACCAACACCACACTAGAGTAGGGTATTACACCGCAAGGTGGCCCGAACTAGTATAAACCCTTGTGTCTCTTGTTCTTTGGGTTCGTCGAGTTAGGCCGTGGGATCGTTGAGCGAGCAAACTAGGGAGAGAGTGTTTTTCGTGCGCACCCTAGAGTTTGAACCTCAAGGGTTAGTCGGAACCCACAATCCGACATTTGGCTGTCAGGTAGGGGTGCGCTGAAGCTTCGCCTCTCTGCCTGCTTCATCTTGCTCCCATGGCAGGCACCACTTCTCTGATTGGGTTGGCGGGCGCCCGCGGATGTGGCATCCGGGCCTTCACCCCGCCTTGCGTTAAGTGTAGTGGCCGCACAAGTTCAAGCCAGAGATGCCGCCTCACTATGACGGCGCGGCGGATCCAGCGGCCTTCCTGCTGGCATACGATGAGGCCGTTCTTGAAGCCGGAGGCGACGACCAAGTCATGGCCAACTGGTTCCCCATGACCCTCGTCGGCGTGCCGTGCGCCTGGTTGCTCAACCTGTCTCACTCCTCCGTGGCCTCCCGGGAGGAGCTGTGCGGCCTCTTCATCGCGCGCTTCGCGGCACAGGCGTCCCCGCCGTAGCAGCCCTCCTTGGTGGTTCGCGGGCGCCAGCCTCGGATCGCCATGTCAAGCAATTCGTTCGCCAGATGGGCGCTGCCTGCGTGTAGCAGAGGGCTCCCCCGGGATGGGCAGCGCCCCAAGCCGACCTCACCTTCAGCTCGAAGGACCACCCGGCGATCACCACAGGCTCGGGGTCGCTCCCGATGCTCTGCACGCCCACCATCTGCAACATAGCAGTCACCAAGACCCTCATCGATGGAGGATCCGGCCTCAACGTGCTCTCCGTGGAGGCTTTCAGCTTTCTCCATGTGCCGCTCGGCCAGCTCCGCCACACCAAGCCTTTCTCCGGAGTCGGTGGCGGTTCCACCAGCCCCCTAGGGAAGACCGCCTCCCCATCACCTTTGGCACCCGCGACAACTACCGCACCGAATTCATCGACTTCAACATCGCTCACATCAGCCTCCCGTACAATGCCATCCTTGGGTACCCAGCCCTGGCTCAGTTCATGGTGGTAACCCACCCTGCATACAACCTCATGAAGATGTCGGGGAGCAACGGCGTCCTCACCGTGGCTGGAGACACCAAGGAGGCCCTGATGCCCCTCAAGCTCGCCTTGAGGGCCATGGCAGCGGCGCGCCCCGCAGGTGAAGCAGCACCCGAGACCCAAGGGGTTGCGCCGGCCAAGAAGAAGCAATTGTTCTTCCAAGATCGGGCCAAGACGAAGCAGGTTTCGGTCGACGAGGACGGGGCCTCAGGAGCCACCTTCATCATAGGCGCCAACCTCGACCCGGACCAGGAAGAGGCACTGGTGAAATTCCTACGCACGAACAAGGAGGTATTCGCCTGGGAGCCCAAGCAGCTGGTAGGGGTCCCGAGGGGAGTAATCGAGCACCAGTTGAGGGTGTGCCCCAATGTGTGCCCGGTGAAGCAGAAGGCGCGACGACAGTCCACAAAGAAGCGGTCCTTCATCATCCAGGAAACCTGCAAGCTACAGGCGGCGGGTGTCATCCGTGAAGTTCGGTACCCGGAGTGGCTGGCAAACCCCATCGTCGTGCCCAAGAAGGGCGGAAAAGAACACATGTGAGTCAACTTCACCAACCTCAACAAGGCCTGCCCCCAGGACCCGTTCCCGCTTCCGCACATCGATCAGATCATCGACTCCATTGCCGAATGCGACCTGCTATGTTTCCTAGATGCCTTCTCGGGTTACCATCAGATTAAGATGGCAGTGGAGGAAGTAGAGAAGACGGTGTTCTTAACCCTGTGCGGAGTGTACTACTACACCTGCATGCCATTCGGGCTACGTAATGCTGGGGCGACATTCCAGCGGCTGATGCACATCACACTAGGCCAACAGCTCGGAAGGAATGCAGAAGCCTACGTCGATGACATTGTGGTGAAATCTCGGGAGGCTAGGACCCTCATTCAGGATCTGGAGGAGACTTTTGCCAGCCTGCGCAAGGTAGATCTGCGGCTCAACCCGGAGAAATGCGTGTTTGGCGTCCCCTCCGGCAAGCTGCTGGGTTTCCTCGTGTCGCACAGGGGGATCGAGGCGAACCCAGAGAAGGTCAAGGCAATAGAAGACATGAGCCCGCTGCAGACTCTCAAGGAAATGCAAAAACTCGTGGGCTGCGTAACCTCACTAGGGCGCTTCATCTCCAAGCTGGGGGAGCGCACCCTCCCATTCTTCAAACTGATGAAGAAGAAGGGCCCGTTCGAGTGGACTCCGGAGACTAACATGGCGTTTCAAGGCCTCAAGAGATACCTAACCAGCCCATCGGTAATGGTGGTGCCTCGTCCTCTCGACCCCCTGGTACTTTACCTAGCTGCCACACCTCATTCCGCTAGCGCAGTGCTGGTGGCCGTCCGGGAAGAGCGCCAGGCCAAGAGCCTGCCCCACGGTGCTACACGTTCGGTCGAAACGGTACGGCACCAAGACGGTGTTCCGGAGGTTGCGGCGGTCCAGGTGGGTAATGAAGCTCCTGAGGTCCCCCAGTCTCAGGAGCTGCCCATCCCTCAGGAGATCTTGGACTCCACCGACACTCCCGTCCTCGTTGAACATCCTGTGTACTTCATCAGCACGGT